CATTGTTTACCGGGTAGGAAAAGCTTAACATTCCTGGACGACTGTGAAGATTGCTAAGTCGAGGCGCAAGCCGAGACTTAGCAACACAGAGTCCAGGAATGTGGCTTTTCCTACGAGATAAACATACTATTTTTCCGCAAATCGTTTAAAATTCGACAGATATTGATTGATTTAAAAAAACCGCGATAATTTTATTCCCAAATAAATGGTGCTTTGAAATTCCTAATAAAATTACTTGGGTTACTATGGAAACGTATTGAGGTTGAATTGTCAAACTTGACGCTTATAAATTTAATTGCTGGTGTTCTCGAAAGTAAAATGATAATTGATGATGAAATTTCCATTCCTGGGACTCCTCCAGAGCTGGTTGAGGCAGTGAATACTGCTTCATTACAATTATTGCCAAAGAAATCAAGAGAAAAGTACGAAAATGCATACAGACGTTTTATGAATTATCGCATGAGTAAAAATACGAGTTCTTTCTCAGAAAATGTTGTAATGGCATACTTCCTAGACCTTTATTTAAAGATGAAATCTTCAACATTATGGGCCAATTATTCAATGCTGAAGGCAACCCTTGCAAAATATTATGTTTTCAAAATATAAATTAATTCCTTATAAGCAATGTGTTTTCTATCATTTATGTAGAACACTAACAACTGTACGGAAATATTATTTCCTTACAGTAAGGAAATGTCATTTCCTGACGGTACAGTACAGTAAGGAAGTCCTGACTTTTTCTTCAAGAAATTTTGACAGAAATGTCAAAATTTCCTGGCGATTTGCGGAAAAGATATTTATTTTCACATAAATAATACTAAGAAGGATTAATTGAATATTTTAAAAAGTTCCGCATTGAAAAAAGAATACTTTTGTGATAACTATGCCTAAAATATGGGTCATACGATTTTAAGACACCATATTAATGTGTATTTAACTCAATCGAACATATATGTGATATTAACTTAAGTTAAGAGTTCGAAGAAATAATACTTCGCCACATTTAAATGCATCTGTCCTGCATCTTATTGAAAGGGAAGTACTCAACATTGATGCGAATAGTTGGAAAAATGCAATCTCTCCTACACATAATATACAAAATATTATTATCAATTTAAAAGACGACACTGATAGTGACACAGATTTGACATAATTTTTATGTGATGTAATTTTTATACTCGTTTTGTGTGTGTGTGTTTTATGTTTTATTGGCACTAGTTTTCACAACCAACTAGCCAGTCAATTTCATAATGATTTCTTTAGACTATAACTTATCAATAACTTAGGGGAATAATGTGTAGTGTCTGTGTTGAGTAAATGTCTTGTTAATTTAGTAAAGTCGACTTCCTTGTCTTTACAAAGAGTCCCTAATTGTATCCGAACGTTTGCGGTCCCTACGGTGAGTACCGATACTCGTTTTAAAAGGTTCATATTTATTCATGTTGACTTATTATGTATAAGATTTTCCGTCTCATGTCTAAAAAAGTTGGCAAAAAAATGGGAAATTTCTTTATTAATAATTTCATAAAAAAATTTTTCTTCATTAAAGGTTATGCATAACACAGAAATCATTAATCAATAATCTTAAGTATTAAAATTAAGTGGTAGATAGGGAAAATCAAAATTATTAACTAATACTGAAGAGAAAAGTGATTTTAAATTTAGATATGCAAGAAAATGTAATTTTAAAATATTTGTAGGTATTAGAAGTTATGTCCAAGTTTAGATTCATGGCCTTCTAATAATTAAATAATACATTCAAAGTAAAAAGTAAATAAAAAATACTTTTGCATTGGTTGATTTTGTATATTGAATAAGGTTAATTAGATATGAAATTAAAAATTAATACACCATCTGACACATCATTAATCAAGTAAATTAAAATGATATTTTGTTCTGTACCTAAATTTAAAAGCACATCACTTTTAATCACAAATCAATATAGTTGATTTTGGCTGTATACTACTAAAAATATTATAAATTTAAATATTGATTATTGATTTCTATTCAACGCAGACATTTTTATGAAGAATAGTTTTTTTATGAAATTATTAATAAAGAAATTACCCATTTGTTGCCAACTTTTTCAGACATACTTTATAGGTACCTTACTAACAATTGAACTTCTTTCCTTACATGGAATAGAAAATATATTCATATTCAGCTATATGTACATATACATATACCTACATTACTTCATTTTAATTTTCACTTCACTATTTTATTATCTCACTTGCAATTTGTTTAACATAACAAAAATTGTTTATTACTTTCAAAATTTGGATATATTTAATAAAAAAATCGACACAGAAAAATATAATAATTAATTAATTCTAATAATCCATCAGTTTATATATTTTTTCCCTTAATTTTCTAGATATTTATTTCAATTCAATATGTAATGTAAATGCCAAATAAAATATAAAATTCGCTAAACCGGCCCTTCTTACTATTTACCTGAAGAGGCAAATCTCTTTATCACTTAGATGTTATCAGCGGGATACTTTTTAATCCTGTATAAGTCAGTTCTTATAATTGTAAATGAAGCATATTTGTAGAAGACATCAATCTTCGAGTCTGCAAGTGGAAGAAGGAGCAGAGCCCCTAAACTGCCAGTGACGCTAAGAGAGTCAGTGAAACATGGTCTTGCCTGACCTGAAAATCGCCTACTTTTATATACACGCGTATTGTAGCGATTTTAGGAATTAGCAGGTTAATTAGCCAATAGGAAATATTAGCGACTGGGCGATCCACTAGTCCACAGACTAAAGCACTGGATGACAATATTTGTATACATTACCCTACTGGCTACACAGTCCAATACTGATCGTATTCTAAAAATTTAATTAATACTTCCTTTCATATGCCAGCATATTTTTTACGATTTTTGCCATAAATATTTTTTTTCTTATCTTTTTATATCCACTTCTTAATTTTTTACTCTACAATATTTTGATTTTGTTTTGCTTTTTGTACTTCGATGTATAACACAATCATCTTATTGTGTAGGTGAACAATATCACTAACTTTTATCTTGCCGTCCTTACATTCACGTATATTTTCTGTAAAAATAAAATATAATGAATTTGGTAGTGATTTTCTACTTTTGTATATGATTCGTCGACTTTATATCTGTTAATAGAATACAAAAATACACATGCACACAGTAATCAACCCTGTCCCTAAAACCATGTGTATACCATTTTACAAAGAAAAACCGGTCTCACTTCGTTTGAAGTGGTATCTATCTGACCCCCAAGTTTTTCCTTTCTCATCGTTTAACTTACCTGAGGAGACTTATGATATGGTTGTTACTTTGGGTGTTATGGATAATGGAACACCCTTTGTTGTCTTGACTGTGATTAAGCCACCCAACTGTAGGGTTCCACACATACCGGATTTTTCCCCATTTACTTTATCTTTACCTATTAGAAGTTAATCTACCTTGACTACGGGACTGAGGTCCCTAAAAGAGTGTCTATTTCAAACAAAGAGTCATCAACTTAAGTTGATGTTTCTATTTTTAAATATGCCTGTGTTTGGTTATTCAGCCACCAATTTGGCAAAAATAAATTTTGATCTCTTCGCCGGCTGAGCACCCGCAGGCCTGGCCATCTATACCCTATCTGCTGATTGTTATGTGTATTTTGACTACCGGGTCTATCTCGATTGTTTATTGGTCCTGTATTTCCCTGTATTCTGTGATTTGATATTTTGGTCATTAATGTACCATCCTCTGGTTTTCGTCGTAGTTATAAGTCAACTCTCTTAATTTCCTAATAATTGTGGTTTGAATTTTCTTCTTGTTGGTATTGCATGTTTGGCCCCATGCCGCAGTAAACCCCTTGTTCAACGTGTTCAGTAAATGTTAGTTTCTTATTTAGGATTACTCCTAGATACTTAGCCTCGTTGCTCCATTCTATTAGACTGTTTGCGGTTCTTATATTCCTGTTTGGTCTATTTTTCTTTTCTGATACATAATCGCCTCCATTTTCTCGAGGTTTTGTGCAATTTATCACTTTATGCTCGATCTTTGCGGTTTATTTAGCGCGTTTTGTAGGTGATTGGTGGCTAAATTCGTGTCTTTTCTACTGGCTGATATGTCTGTATCGTCAGCATACATCCTCAGTAGTTACCTGGGTATTGTTGGTGTATCTGCGGTGTATATGGCATACAGATAAGGCGACAGCACTGCTCCCTGCGGTACACTCACCTCCAGGGTTCTGACTTCGGACAAGGTAGACCCTATTCGAACTCTGAACCTCGAGTTGGACATGTATGAGGTAAGAAGACATGTCATTGCTTCAATGTATCCATATTCGTGAATTTTATGTAGCAGTCGTTCATACCAGACTCTAACCTAGGAAGGCTGCAGCTGTGTACATCTTTTCGTTAAACACTTTTATGTGTTCGATTAGCCGTTGAACCTGTAGTTCGTCCAAGCGTTTTGTTCTAAATCCAAAATGCGCTTCTGGAGTGGTTCCTATTATCCTTTCCTATTATCCTACTATTCTTTCAGCGATCTTGATAATTGATGATAATAAACTAATCGGTGTCTAATTCTGTGGAAAGGTTCCATTTTCCCCAATTTTCCTATCAGGATAACATTAGCGTTTTTCTATCTGTCCGGGAAATATCTCAGTCTTAGTATTCCGTAGAGTACGTTAGCGATCTACACTATTGCTTTCGTCGGCAGATTCTTAAGTGTTGGGTTGATAATGTCCGGTCCTGGTGCTTTCGTTGCGTTAGTTAGTCTGTTAGTAGAATGCATTTCCAATTGCCATATATATTGCGGTTGCTGATTTTAGCATATCCTCAGCTTCAGCTTTATTTCTAGTTTCAAAGGCCAGTTATACATGTATTGCTGCTTGATCCTCTCTTGTAACGGCCCACAAGTGCATTCAAATTACCCTATAATATGACTCTCTCCTTTGCTGAAATATCGCTCAGTATGTGTCCAAAATGATGTAATTTTAATTATAATATAAAATATTTTTTAGGTTTATTTCAGCCGCCATTTTTATCAGTATATTTATATCAAACTGGAAATATTTATTGAGCGGGCCATCCAATTTTGAAATGTTGCAATATTCTGATAATACTTGCCAGCAAAATCTATTATTAAACATATTTTTTATGGCAAATTTTAAATTCTGGAAGGACATAGTAAGTAAGCTTATCTAATTCTTAACAATATATATTTATTAATAAATATCAATATGATAATTATAAGTGATTTGTAAGGTTAAGTCTTAAAAGAATTGAGTGGACAATGTTGACATGTTGAAGTACATGATAATTCAAAGAATATCCAAGAACACGCATTATATTGGTGCATGCAATATATAGTACCTTTTTTTGGTAAAATATATTTATTTATAATATAACGCATATCTTAAAAGTTTTAGCACAAAATATTTGTCGAAGTTTTTTTAATGAAAAAAATTATAAGCAATGAAATAATAAAATGAGTTATACGCGTGATATCATAAGTTATCGTACTTATAATTTTGCTGTCCCTATGAGCTTTGGAGCACATAATTAAAAGCAATATTTTCATCCAAAAAACGATAAATGGAGTATTACAAACGAACATCTAATATATTAATATAATCAAAAACATTTTCCGTCTCATTTAGGAATTTAATTTTCTTAGTTTTTGTTGCTATTCTGTCAATATATAACCCCCCTTATATCTTATCTTCTTTTGTTTAAATTTCTTTTTGCTTTTGGTAAGTTTCCGACAAAATTTTTCGTCTCTATTGACTTACTTGTATCTTGTAGTTCTTAAACTTCTTTATTCATAGTTTCTCTCTTCCTTCTGATCTGGATTTTTTTCTCTTTCTTATTTATATTTCTCTTCTACTTGTCGGTTTCTGTACCCCCGTTATATCATTAAATATGCTCTGTTTTGTCTCTCTATTATAATCCAGTATTCTTCTTTAAAACAGTCATTCGTTTTATTTTTCTTTGTTTACCTTTAATGCATAGTAAGTCTTCAGCTGCTTCTTTCATGATGTTTCTGCACCCTTCCTCTGTTTGTTTGTTTTCTAGTTTAATGTTTATTTAGTTTGTATTTTTAAGTCCTTCTACATTGTATTGTTTATGTTAAGAAAAAGCTTTTTGCGAACGTTTATTATATTGGATTGGTATATTGAGTCATTAATAGAATTTATCATATTAAATTAACAAAAGTTAGTAAGTTTGTCTTATTCCAAATGTAAGTTTGTCATCGATTCCAAAAAAAACTTCTTCTTCTTCAAGTGCCGTCTCCATCAATGGAGGTTAGCGGTTATGGTGGCAAACGTTTGTCTATCTTCAGCTGCTCTTAAGAGTTCCTCAAATCCAAGTCCTGTCCCGTTTCTGATATTACGTAACCAGGACAATTTTTTTCTTCCAATTCCTCGCTTTCCTTCTATTTTGCCTTTTATTATCAACTGAGGGATGTAGTATTTCTCGTTGCGCAACAAATGCCCTAAATAACTGGTTTTTCTTCTTTTGACTGTTGTCAATAGTTCTTTTTCTAAATTGAGTCTAGCTAGTACTTCTTCATTTGTTTTTCGTGCTGTCCAAGGAATTTTTTAAATTCTACGGTACACCCACATTTCAAATGCCTCGATTCTATTCAGGCTCTTTATTTTTAAAGTCCACGTTTCGACTCCGTAGAGAAGAACAGACCAGATAAAACATTTTACAAGTTTTAATCTCAATTTAATATTTATATGTGTATCGCAGAATAGAACGCGCATCTTAAAGAAAATATCCCTAGCAATTCTCGCTTTAATTTCTTGTTCTGGGTCCAGCTTGCAATTAATCCAACAGCCAAGGTATTTGTATTGGTTTACCTGTTATAAAATATTCCCATTTATTTTTATAGGTAAGGGGATATTCTGTTTTCTTTGGATCACCATTACTTTTGTTTTTTTTTCGTTGATCTTCATTCCAAACTCTCGACAAGCATCCTTAAGGTGGTCTATAACCCCTTGTAAGTTTGTGTCTGTATCAGCCAGTAGGACAGTGTCATCTGCATATCTTATGCTAGATATTGGTTCTCCATTAATTTTTATTTCTGTGGAAAGGTTTTCCAAGGCTTGCTTGAATAGTAGTTCCGAGTAAAGATTGAACAGCATAGGGGATAGTATGCATCCTTGCCTTACTCCTTTATTTATACTAATATTTCTAGATATATGATCGTCGATCCTAATCTTGGCACTCTGCCTCCAATATAAGTTCTTAATTAATCGGGAATCTTTACTATCCAAGTTGATGCTCTGCAAGGAATTTAACATTTTATTATGGTTTACGCGATCAAATGCCTTTTCAAAGTCTACAAAACATAGAAAGACATCCTTTTGTTGGTCGTAATACTTCTGCAGCAGTACTTGTAGTGAAAACAAGGCCTCTCTGGTCCCCATCCCGGCTCTGAATCCAAATTGATCGTATCCAACTTCTTTTTCACACCTTTTGTATACCCTATTGTGAAGTATTTTTAATAGAATTTTAAGCACTTGGCTCATAAGACTTATTAATCTAAAACTGCGCATCGCCTGGAGTTAGCTTGTTTTGGAATGGGAATAAAAATAGATTCTAACCATTCCTCTGGTATTTCCCCAGTATCGTAGATTGTATTTAAACAAAATTACTAACAAATCAATGTTATTACTTTCGATCAATTTAAGTATTTCAGGATAAACTTCGTCAGGTCCAGGGCTTTTGTTGGTCTTTAATTGTTTAATGGCATATTCCACTTCGACTTTTAGAATTGGTGGGCTTTCAGTAATATTATTTATTGTAATGTCTATTCTTTCATCTCAGAACAGCTGTTGTATAAATTTTTCCCATTCTTCTATTTTATCTTTGGTGTTATGAATTAACTCTCCATTGTTATTTACCAGTGAGCAATGTTGTTTTTTGTGGATGAATGAAAATTCTCTCACCTTCTTGTACATATTAAAGTAATCATGTCTGTGTTCTAATTCTTCTATTTCTTCACATTTTTCTTCGAGCCATTTCTCTTTTGATTCTTTTATTTTCCTTCGTATTTCTGTATTTAATCGTTTGTAATCGATTGTGTTCTTATTTTTGTATTTCCTCCTTGTCTATCATCTTTAGAATAGCTGGTGTCATCCAGTCTTTTTTTGCCATTAATCATGTATTTGGAATTTCTTCCCTTGCAGAATTGACGAGGATGGATTTTATTTGTTGCCAAGTTGTATTTATATTTTGGATATTTATTTCGGTTCGGTCTATTTCTGAGAGTTTTTCATTTAGTTTTACAGTGGTTTTATCTTTAATCTGTACATCTTTTAGTAGTTCCATATTAGGTTTGTTCTTCGGCTTTGCATTTTTTATTACTTTAATTCTTGTGCAAATATTTGCTACTACAGGGTTGTGGTCGGAATTTGCATCAGCACTAGGATATGTTTTTGTACTTGTAATGGAGTTACGAAATCGTTGGTTGATTAAAACATAATCTATTTGATTTCATATTATTCTTTCTTTTGTGTGTAGCGGGGAAGTCCAGGTGTATAACCTACGTTGAGGTAACTTAAACCAAGTGTTTTTTGCTATCATATTGTGTTGCTGGCAAAACTCTAATAGTCTGTCTACTCTTTCATTTCGTTCTCCTAGTCCGTATTCTCCTACGATATTTTGGAATTTCCCTCTTCCTATTTTAGCGTTAAAATCTCCTAGGACGATGTTAATATCTTCTTTCTTTGTCAATTTCATGAGCTTTTGTAGATCTTCATACCATTCTTCTAGTATGTCATCTGGCTTATCTGCGGTTGGTGCGTAGACCTGAATAATATTCACATTAAAAGGAGAACTCCTTATTTGCAACAGCATTGCTCTGTCAGAGAGTGGCATAAAGTTTAAAAACTTTTATAAAAAAAGTCACTTTTAAAATAAGACCATTAAAAATATATACAATTCGTTATTTCTCAAGCACCAATTTTTATTTTCACTTTTACAGCTGTGTTATTATTCCTGTTCCATAAAATGTAAATTAAACATTTACTTTTTATGTTAGTTCTTCTTTTGATGGGATTTTTGGTTTTTAATTGACGCTTATAAAATGAAAGTACATATTTGTTTCGTTTTGTAGTTTTGATAATCTGCTGATTCAGCTGTTGATTTATCTGTTGTGTCTTTATTTTGCTGAATAAACAAATTTCTACATAATGTCAGGACATCGATTATTCCTATTATTAAATAGACTCCTTGGTTATTTGGACATTTCTTCGAATGTATCCCATAACGTCCTAGACAGAATTCATATCAATTTCTTTATTTTTTTATAAATTTTAACTCAATTGTTTTTTATTTTGGGTTTTCAGCCTTCACTATAAAGGTCCATAGACAGTAAAGCTTAAAAAATCAAAAATTCTCCATTGGGTGAGTCTACGGCATATTTGGAAGATTATTATATTTGGAAACAAAATGTATGTGGTGTTGTCGTCACAAGTTTTGTGGTCAGTTTTCTGTATCTCTTGAATAATGGCATGATGCTAGGTCTAAATATGATCATAATATAATATCGTCATTAGAATGTTGTTTGTGGACAAACTGAAGCAATTTGGAAAGGCAGTTATCAATATAGCTCTGACTATTCAAAGCTTTACCCCACCCTCAAAGCAAATTTCATTTTATATTTGCATCTAACATTGTCAAAACATTTCCCTACGTTGTTTGTATGAAATTCTATTAATTTCAAAATTACTTAAGGTGAAATAGTTTTTGTCATGTAAAATACTGATTTTGTCATTGAAAAAGTTTACCCACCTTAGCTAACGATACCATTTTGGTATACGGAGTTTCGCTTGAGAGAATGTGGAGTAATTACGTATCGTACGAATCGTATGTATCGTACGTATCTTACGTATCGTACGTATCGTACGTATCGTACGTATCGTACGTATCGTACTTATCGTACGAATCGTACTCTTAAAAATTTTATATTGATGAGCCAGTCTTCTCGTTGACATTTTAACCTAGTTTTTTGCTCTTCTCACCAATTTCTTTGATCTCTGTTTGGTAAATGCACTTGGTCTTCCACATTTTGAGAAATTCATGGTTGTCCCTTCTCGGACTCCAGTATTGTTCTATAAATGGTTCTACTTGAAATTATTATAATCCATTTTCAAGGTTTACTCTCCGTTAGTTTAGTGACATCCCAACTCTTTGTACACTTTGTCTGGCTGACAGTACATATACCTTATTGTAGTCTGTATTTATTTCTTTTGAGTAAGACGTTAGTCAAGGTGCAGGCTAATATATTTTGCTTCTGTTACTGTTGGTGGGCGTATATTATTAATTTTTAAAAGTGAAAACGTGTTGGGGCAGTTGGTAAATGGTATTTATATTATTTGTCCTTTGTTTACTGTTGTTCTCCATCTTGTGTACCAATCATTAAGTTAATTTAGTTAATGCTGCAGATCCTGTAAACCTTGTAGGGGTTCTTCACTTGCGGCTAGTATTGTACACCTGGGGTGGAATGAGTTTATTTTTTTATATTGTCCTTCCTTGGATAAACTCTGGTTCTTTGGTTTCTGGCTTTTTCGCTACGCAGAACTCAGGAAAGATGACAGAATTATTTTCTTACAGTAACACTAATCACTGGTTAGTGCTACCACATTCGACAACGGCAGCAGTGTTGCCGTATATTAGTGTCATAAAACGACACCATCGCCTAAGGAGTAGACCTCAATGAAATAATCTTTAACCACACGATACCAGGCAAGCGGTGTTAATTAAATGGCTAAGCGTTAGACAATCTTGAGGGGAGCTTTTGTGCTTTGTTTCCCTGACTAATGGTGTTTAATTGAAGACTAAACGACCTATCACCAGAGAAGATAAGATATAGCCATTTCTCAACATAATCAAAGACTTAATTCTTATACAAAAAAAAAAGAGTCGTGTAGAAACTTTTCTGCTGATGACGTTTATATTATCAAATACTCTATGTCTTTGTAACGAATATAGTGTGGATCTTTATTCGTTGATATTTGCTCGACTGTAATGTTTTTTCTAAAACCAAATTGGTCTTAAGGAATTAGACGGCTTTTTCATTTTGTAGAATTTTTTGAGTTACGAGCAGCTATTTTAAGAGTTATCCAAGGACTCTTATCAGGCTAATGGGTTTGTAGGCAATTACTTAATTAATAGATTTTCCAGTACAAGCGGGTAACTTTACAAATATCCAATAAATCTAATTTGGTCAGGGCTTAAATGACCTATTGTGCCTACCCCAGTACTATCCAAAGTCTGGCTGTTCTACTGTTACGATCTTTCGATACAAATTAGAGATACTCTAGTCTACAATTATTTTGAGGTGACATTTTTGGACGACTTAAACGGAAGACATGTAAAAACTTATTTCAGTCTAAACTTATAAACCTAAAGTTAACATATCATTATTGTCCAATTTTTTTATATGAATATAATTTTATTGTTCGATGTCAACATTTATAAATATATGTTATTTATTTAAGTTTAAAATCATACTTAAGTTACTATAATAAATTTTCTCTTTTTTTTTCAGTGCTACCCTGTAACATGGTCATTATCAGCAGATTTTCAGATGTATATTATTAATGTAATAGTAATATACACAATATTCAAGTACAAACTTAACGAATTTAAGGTGTATTTCTCTATTTTAGCAGGTGTTTGTTTTATTAACGGATTCATGATCTACTGGTATGATGCACAAGTTATATTTAATTTTAACGCAAGGTAATTTTTAGTATTTTATTAATTATTCTTAGATATTAAATATATTGTAAAACCTACGTAAAACGATATCACGTAGTCGTGATGTAACAAAGATATGTATGTGTAATGTATCATAAGTATTTGGCCTAATGTAACAAAGACAGTGCCAACGTGACAAAAAACAAATAAATTAAAGCTGACTAGCAAAATGTACCAGAGAGTGACTAGGTGACACTCAAAAGAAGAATTTTCATGCCCTACAGAGGCTGTAAAATGATGAAACGAGTGACAAGGTAATAATATATATATATATATATATATATATATATATATATATATATATATATATAAATAAATAATGTAAATGAAAGTGATAGACTATAGAAGTTGCTCTAAGATGCGATTGTGCGCCAGGAAAGTATTAACATATACCTTTCAAGGTATCTTGTAAATATGTTTGCTGAAATAAAAAGGAAAACAGGTATTAATTGAAATATTTAGTCTTCACAACAAATTTAATACCTAACCAAATATACAATCTAATACTACATATTTATATGCTACACACCACTATGTATGTATAGTCAACCCAGTTACTTATATACTAAATAAATACGAGCCCTAACAACTATATGTTGGAACAAGCAGTTATTTTGCGAATATAATGCAAATTTACCGATAATATTTTATTTTTTTGTTTTAAATTGTAAATATAAAATTTTTTACAACATTTTTATGATGTATGGAATTATTTTTGCGGCTTAATTATATATTTTATATCGAATACTATGTAATTAATTGTTTGATAATCGAAAACTGCTGACAACTAAATGTTGGAGCATGTTTTGTTTTTCCTCACGTTACTTAAATTTTATCAGCCTGACACAAACAAGACTTTGAAATCAAACATACGAGTAGGTAGTGCGTTGTCAACAATAATTGCCATAGCTGATTTGAGTATGAATAAAGACAACTGTCAGTTTTATTACGAGCAAACAAAGCCTAAGAAATAACCCTCAGCGTACTTTGCCACAACAACGTGCTAAATTACAAGAAATAAGAGATAGTTTTACCCCTAAATTCTGTGAAGGCCTAGTTGGTACAATCCCTAATAGAGTTCAGGCTTTTTTCAATCTAAGGGCGACGTTACAAATTATTAATATTTATTTTAATATTGTTAAAATCCTCTTCCTATTCCAACATTTAGTTGTCAGCATGTTTTGGCTATCAAACAACTAATTAAATAGTAATTAACAAAAATTACATAATTAAACTGTGAAAATAATTCCATATATCTTAAAAAATGTTGTTAATTTCATATTTACAATTAAAAAAATTAACATAAAAGAATTTCAATAAATCGGTATTTTATTTGTTAAATAACTGCTTGTTCCAACATATAGTTATTAGGGCTTGAATTTCCTGGTTATACCTGATTGATACTCGATAATCTAAGTTTACTTATAATAACATATAAGAAAAATTTCAATGATTCGAACTAAAAAGGTACTTTACTTGCCTACTAGAGATGCAACTCTGTAATTTGTCTTTCATTTAAATGTTCTAATAAAGTAATCAGGACACTATCCTGACGGGATATATTTTTAATGTTTAAATATATATAATAATAAAATTTAAATAAGAAAAATAATAAAATCTCAATACCGAACTCCCTGATTAAATGGGTACATATTTATAAAACCGTACAACAGAGTTAAAAGGGAGAATTTAAAACATAGACCTGTAGTTGACAATTTTATTACCTTATTGAGAATTATTTAAAAAAAAATGATAGGTCCTTATTATTAAATGGAATTGTATGATTTAAAGTTGAAAAAGAAATATTATAAAAATATATAAACTACAATTAATAATGAATAAAACTTAATATAAAAATGAACAATGTTCCACACTCTAAATGAGGGAATATTTTTGGCTGGTTCCCTGAAGTTGGTTGGGAATAGTCTTCTGAGAACTGAGATTTGTATATCTGTAAGAACAGCTTAAGGGTAACGAAAATGTTAAAATCCAATAGGGAAAAACTTAATCCTTTTTTCTTCAAATATCCCTAACCAAAATAAAAATAAGGAATTCTGGACTCTGGATTTTTAACTTCTAAGTAGGATAAAAAGAACAGAAGAATCTACTCTGGCGTCGTCTAATGCTGCTAAGATAGCCCATTTCTCAAAACTGTCGAATGCTTTGTCATAATCGACAAATGCCAGATGTAGTGGTATGTTGTACTCTATTATTTTTTCAATAATTGTCCAGATTGTTTGCAAGTGATGGATAGTGCTAAAACCCTTACGATAACCTGTTTGCCCCACTGGTTGGTGTGTATCTAGCTTAGCTGTCAATCTATTTGTTATTATTCGGGTAAGTAGTTTGTAAAAGTGTGACAATAAGCTTATTGTTCGGTAGTTTTCTAGATTTACTGCGTCCTCTTTTTATGGAATAGAATGACTTCCGTATTTTTTCATGCTTTCGGTATTTGTCCTTCAATAGGTATTTATTCAGTAATGCTCTCATTGCCTCTTCTAATGCAGTGCCTTCAAGTTTTAGCATCTATGAAGCAATTTTATCTTCTTCTGGTGTTTTCCCATTTTTCATTTGTTTTAGGGTGGCTCTAATGTCTGATGTTATTATTTCATAGAGATCCACTAAGCCCACATTTAAGATATGTTTTGTTGACATACCGGGTATCGGAATAGTAGAAGTATACAGCTTCTCATAAAATTTTAGGATTTCTCTAACGATCTCTTTGTTATGCGAGCACAATATTCCACAGTCGTCTTTTATTTTTATAATTTTATTCCTGCCAACGGATTTACATGTTTTTAGTACCTTCACGTTCTTACTGTTCTCTATAGTTTCGAGAATCTGGTTTGTTCTATAAGCTCTAAGGCTTTTTCGAATATTTTTCTTAACGCTTCTGTTAAGCACTTTATAGTCCGGTTTATCTCAGCTAATCCATCTATATTTTTGTGCTCAATTCTTGTGGCTAATTCCTCTTGGTATTTCTCTTTATTACTGGCTAGTATGTCTGCCGTCGGTAAAGGGTGTGTTGTTTATAGTTTTCGTCTTTCTTTCTTTACGTTAATACGTATATCGGCACGACCTAGTCTATGGTCACTTCCGGTGTTAAATTTGTTTAACACTTCGATGCTTTTACATATTGATCTATCACTGAAAAGGATAAAATCTATTTTATTCTTAACCTGGTCGTCAGGGCTACGCCATGTCCATTTTCTTTGGACTTGGTTTTTATAGAACGTGTTCAGGCAAAACATTTTCTCTGTACTTACGTAATTTGCTACAGTCTCTTCTCTGATGTTTCTGTTACCTAGACCGAAATTTCCTATGTAGTATGATTCGCCTGGCATTCGCCGCCCTATATTGGTATTAAAATCTCCGTTGATGATAACATAGTGTTTTTTTTAGGTCTTTAGCTCGCGTCATATCTTCGTACAGTTATCTCCTTAGCCTTGGCCGTGGTTTTCTTCTGAATTATATTGGTATAGAGTGTGCCCAGATTTTAGGGTGGTCTTTTTCTCTCCTTGAAGTCTCGTTTTACATAAGCTTAAAATATCCCATTTAATAGCCCATAGCTCTTGCTCTAATTCCTCTAGATGGTCATCTGCTCTCATTGTTCCAATGTTGTATGTAGCAATTTTAAATTTTTGAGAATTAATTTGCTTATTATTGTCATGTATTTTAGATCTTCTGCTTCCCGCTTTCCCCAGAATCCGTGAGGCAGCCATATTGGAGTGTGATTCTGAGTTATAAACTGTACCCACCTGGGGTATTATTTATGGGATTTATGCATAAATGTATTGAAGGGAAAATGGCAATTAAAACATCACGCTTGGCGAGCGGGTTAACGTGTTTAGATTTCAGCCGCCCATTCTAGATCAGACGCTGCTTGATTCTATAGAATTGATGGGGTTGACACTTCCCCAATCCACACCGTACCGAAGGTTTGCTTCTCCACCGTGGTCTGGCGTTATGGTCTGCGTCCGTAACCCTGACAAAGGACCCTAAACAGGTGCTACTTTCCGGGTCAGGAATTCCCTGGAATCTTCGGAGGGCAGGGAACGATTTCTTTTCCCTGATAGGACTATTCGAAGAGTTTCTACCCGCTACACCGCCATGTTTCTCTTACAAATGCTTTATTTGCTCATTTATTATATTTTTCAGCAAAAAATATGTATATATCACTATGAGAAATGTGTCCTCTTATGTTACATTTTATTGAAATTTTTTATAAAATACGTATGAGACGGGTTAAACATGTATAATATTAAACAGTAGGTTTTTTTACATTGTACCGGTTTTTTGTCCATTATATCACTTTTATCCCATTAAATAGAGGTCCATTATATCGAGGTTTTACTGTATGTAATTGCAGATACGATTATTTTGTCAATAAACACAAATCCTAAATATTAAACTCTGGAGTATTTTTTTTACTTGTTTACTTCAACGCATTAAAAGAGCCGGCTATGATATCAGTTATAAAACAAGGTTTTATATTTTGGACAATCCACTTTAAATGTAATTTCACAGTAAATATTTGGGGTATAAAAATCTGCTTTTATCATCATAGATTTTTACAAATTTCAAAATTAATCACATAAATGAACATTCGAAAGAATGTTGAGAATGTGTATTATTACAAATTTTATTTACTACCAATCAATAATTTTTTTTTAATATCTAGTTTTGAGTGCTATTTTAAAAATATTAACTATAATGTTGTTTCTGATATTTTTTTATGTCAAATCCTGCAAAATGGAGATTTTTAGATAATCAAAAAGTTTAGATAATATTGTAGACAATATAAAAGGTACCGAAGAGTGGAATTATAAAACTTTTTATTCATAAGGAAATGAATTGGTTTTGGCATAAAAATACTTGCATAATATAACTATTTCTAAATACAATAAATACGGCATCGGAATTAGTGCGCCATTTTCATTCATTTATTCATTAACCCATTTATGCCCAACGGGTCGTTAACG